TCCTTTGGTCATTAAGTCTTGATGAGCCACATTTTTTTAGTATTCTGGCTTAGGACAGCAACACACAGACACTGACACTCTCAAGTAAAAGTAGCAAGACAAATATAAAAAATAATCAGCCAAACCATTATATATTTAGCTATTCCTAAACATTATAATTTTTTTAGCTGTGAGCATGCATAGAAGATAACGTGAGACTTTTACAAGAATGAAACCCAGCTCTGATGATGCCCATCGAATGATGGACGAAAGCTCAGCACGTCTCCATCGGAAGCGAGGGAGGATGTCTCGTAAACCGCGTGAACCGCGTAAACCGGAACGTCGTGTTCAAGCCAAACGGCTCCAGTACGACGGGATTCAGCCGTCCTCTTCCGATGAGCTCGACCCTTGAATCTCTTCTTCATGCACTTTCATACAAAATGAAAGTCCACCCAACAGCAGATTCATTCGCTTTGCTGCCAAAGCCCAGTTGCGAGACTGCATAACTGAGTATGCCTGCTTCGAGTCTCCAGGCCGAACGAAATGTTAAACCCATTCCGACTGGAATTATGGCAATTATGTCTTCCAAGTTTAGTCCGTGTGCATACAAGCTGACTTTTCGTCGGTATCGGCAAACTGACTGACTGTGTCTAGCCACACTCAATTGGCTCTTCAGCAGAATCAACCAACTGAGGATGAGCCCTCCACACCTCTGTAGAAAAATACCGGTGACGTGGAAACGCAAGGAGGACTTCCACAATCTTTCTGCTCCGTTTGTCGGGCGAAAATGCCAACAGAGTTCTTGACTATTGATCAATTTGCCAGGCAGAAGACTCAGAAACGTTCTGATCCGTCTAATCACCTGGCCGCCTTCACTTCTCGGATTGCAAACTATGCAGGTTCTAGAAATCAATTCCAACTCCGTTATGGCGACTCTTAACGCCCATACACAGGGCTACCATTGTGATTCACAACATGCGTACTAGCCTCCTCTTCCTTCGGCGGTGGAAGACTGCCATCCGAAGGACGCAAAGTGCACCCTGTCAGAACACAAAAAGACAATAGTGCATACCAAAAGTGTCTGCAAGAAATATTCTCCTGGTCTGCGGTCAACGAGGTGGCAGAGAGCACTTTTTGGGTGGTTGCCTGTTTTGGGACTGTCACATTTCATCGTTGCAGCTTGCACCAGCCAACCCCTCCTCACGACTGGCACGAGCCAGAGTGGGCAGAAAGGCCTCGATTTGGTCAGAAAATATTAAAAAAGAGCTACTTCACATATCACCGACATAGTTACGAGTTCAGGAGGCCAAATCGCAGAAATTGAGGACATGTCCTACTCCACCAAAATCAGATTTTTATTGTAGGATTGTAGGTATGCCAACATGCGCTTGTT